AAAAGGCAGAACTAGCAGCCCTCACCCAAGCCTTACAGTTGTTGGCGGGTCTTAAGGTAACCATTTACACCACCTCAAAGTATGCTTTCCTAATCGCACACAGCCATGTGATGATCTGGAAGGAAAGGGGATTCCTCACTACCCAAGGGACCCCAATTATAAATGGTAAAACAATTCATTACCTACTCCAGGCCTTACAGGAACCCAAGGAGGTAGCTATTGTTCATTGCCGGGGACACCAGAAAGATACCGACCCAGTCACTAAAGGGAATGCTCTAGCCAATGCTACTGCTCGACAACTAACCTCAGGTCCTGATTATTCCCCAGTATTGTTTCTCTCCCCTTCTATAACTCCTAATTATTCCAAAGAGGAAAAACAACAACTTTTAGACCAGGACGGAATGGCTGGACAACAGGGATGGATACATCTTAAAGACAGGATAGCCCTTCCACAGGCCCAGGCCAGGGAAATCGTATCTACAGTTCACCAATTCCTCCATATTGGTCCAGAGGCTACGTACAGGTTTCTCTCCCCTATCTTCACCCCACCTGGGTGCCGAAAGACCATTAACCAGGTACATATGGCTTGCACCACCTGTCATCATGTTTATTCTCAAGGCGTCCTCAAACGCCGTGCGGCCTTCCACCAGCTGCGGGGAGTGCTACCTGGACAGGATTGGTAGATTGATTTTACCCACATGCCTAGACACAAAAAGTTCAGATATTTACTGGTCATTGTTGATACATTTTCAGGTTGGATCGAGGCCTTTCCTACCTTCCAAGAGACTGCGTCAGTGGTGGCAAAGACGTTGGTGGAACACATCATCCCTTGTTCTGGCCTCCCGACATTGCTCCAGTCAGACAATGGACCAGCTTTCATCTCAAAGGTCACACAACTGGTGGCTGACTCTCTAAATATCTCCTGGAAACTACACATACCCTATCAACCTCAATCCTCAGGTAAGGTGGAAAGGGCCAATGGCCTTCTCAAGGATCAACTTACCAAACTCTCCTTAGAGGTAAAGACCTCCTGGCCAGACCTACTCCCAATTGTTCCCACCTGATTGCGAGCAGCCCCTAGGGAACCCACCGGACTAAGTGCCTTTGAGTTAATGTATGGTAGACCCTTCCTTCTAAACACAGGCCTGCCTATAACTCCACCCCCTGTAGCCTCCTACCTACCTTACTTCTCACTCCTAAGACATCTCCTCAGGGTACATGCAGACCAGTTCCTGCCTCAACCCACCTCCCCCTTGGATCCAGGAACCACAGAGGTTCTGCAGCCAAGAGATGAAGTCCTTCTTAAAGAACTCCAACCTCGGTCACTCCAACCATGGTGGATGGGACCATACATGGTGAATCTTACCACTCCCACAGCCACCAAGCTATTGGGACACTCCCCATGGTGCCACATCTCCAGGCTCAAATGAGCGCCCAGTCATTATAGGTGGAGGTCTAGAGAGACAGGGCCCCTCCGTTTGTGCCATACTTGCACTGGTGCTGGGCACAATGACCCATCCAGCTTTGGCAAACTGGGTCTGTAACCAGTGTGTCATATTGGGTATGCTCCAACTACACCAATTGGTCCCCCAGACATGCTACTTTCAAAAAGTACCTTGTCAGCAGGGAGACCAATTATACTGGGCTGCTATAATGTTAATAAATTTCCAAACTGGCTGCCCAGGAGGAGTCGGCAATACCATTTGCTGGGTACCAGACCCTCCACCAAATCCCCAAGGAAACATACCCTCTTGTCCCACCTAATGCTTGTCTTTCCATTCCTTCATCCAGGCTGCCTGCTACAAACGAGTCTCAGTCTGTTGCTCATCATTGAGACAACAATACTGGATGGGCCAAAGCCTGGGTAATCATGCTGGATATGTCTGTCCTGAGAGACAAGGACAACATATCTGCTGAACCCTCTGGCCACTGATACAGAGGTTGGACGGTAGAGGTGCACAAGATGATGCTGGAACATCAGTACTCGCCCCTTCCCTCCAAGCCTCCTCCAGTCTCCCACCAGCCTTAACCCTGCCCATGCTGCCCCTCCTCAGCTGGAAGTAGCCAGATTGAGTCGCTGCCCATTACAACCAAAAGGCTGGAATGTAAGGCTGGAGGCACCGGAGGGAGGGGTGAGCATGTCACATGAGCTCAGCCCTCACCAAATAAGGAAAGGGGGCAGCAAAGCCCCCAACCCCTGCCTAGTAAAGGAAAGAGACCAATAGATTCTGGCCTGATGATATGCCAAAATCGCCGGCTGCTGCCCCCTCCCAACCTGGAAAAGGAGTAGTAACTTTCTAGTCCTTTGTCTACTGTAAAGGCCAATGACACATGCCTTAGGCTAGCCAATCCTCGTGCCACTGTAGACCTATGCTCTCCCTCCCTCTAACTTCTTTATAAACTCACTGCCTGCCTGCTTGGTGTGACTTCTCTGGCCTGTGACTAACCAGTCCGGCGAACATCACCCTGGATTTCACTCTATTAAACTTTTGGCTCCTTCATAGCCTCTTCACCTGGTCATTTCGGCGTGATTTTACCTTACATATGTGATTTGAATTTTTCTTATCTTTTTATGCTTTATTTTTCATTTGAATTCATTTCAGGTTTTGTTTTTCACTTACCAAAACAGTACAAAGAATTCCCATATATCTTTTACCCAGTTTCTTCAAACATTTATAACTTACTGTGGGTAAAATTGTAACATTTCCAGAATATCTTGCCTGGCTTTAGTTCATTTGCATATCCTCAGGGGTGGAGAGAAGTTCATCTCCATATCAATGGGTAATTATCTGGGCAACCAAGGGTGTGTCTGAACCCGGATAGTTTACAGGGAGGGGCTGGCTTGCTTGCTTGCTTGCTTCCTCTGGGGCAGCAGAGAGACCATAACCCTGGGGTGCAGTTTGTAAGCAATAAACAGGTTTTAAACTTTATTTCTCCCTTTGACTGATTTCAGTTTTAGAGGAATTTTGCTCCAGGATTTCCTCTCCCGGGACTTACATTTACATAAATGCAATACAATCAAAATCAGTAAATTAGTATCAGTGCACTATTGAAAGGGCAAGCTCCCAGATTCTATTTCAGCCAATCGGGACCTGGATCCTATTTCACCCAATCGGAGCTTAGTCCCTCTCTCCCCTCCAGTCAGCAAGAACACCCACCACCCCTGGACCCTGCCAACTGACCAAAGCCACAACCAAAGCCAATCAGCCAGGGCCACGGCCATCACCCCTCCCCCCCCAAAACCGCCCTGGAAACCCATAAAACCTTTGTTCTGGGGAAAACATGCTCTCTTTCTCTGGCATCTTGCCACTGTGTTGGTGTAGATGAGAGATTGAGTTTGAGCTAGCTCGAATAAAGGCTCTTTGCTTTTGCATCAGTGTTGGCTCCTTGGTGGTCTTCTGGGATTTGTGACTTTGGGCACAACACTTATTATCTAACCTACAATCCTCATTCAAATCTCATCCCTTGTTTGTGTCCTTTTATAAATTCCATCCAGGAGCACATAGTTCACTTGTCATGTTTCATTAGGCTCCTTTAATCTTGGATAATTTCTTTATTTTTCTTTTTCGTTCATGACCTTAACTCTTTTGAAGACAACTAGGCTATTCTTTTATAGAATTACCCTCAAATTGGGTTTCTCTGTTTTCTCATTAAATTCAGGTTATGATTTTTCAGTAAGAATACAGTGCAGAAAAAAACAAAAATGCAAGAATATTTAGGAAAGCAATGAAAAGGGAAAGCTGAGGGGGACTAGCTTTACTAGACATGAAAATGAACTATAAGGCCTCTATAATTAAAACAGTGTGGTATCAGTGCATGAGTAGACAAACAGAGCAGTGGAATAGGAGAGAAAGTCCCAGAATAGACCCTATTTGGAAATTCAGAATATTGATAAAGGTGGCATCTCAAGAAAGTGGCACAAAAATGGGCTTTTAGAAAAATAGTGCTGAAACAACTGGGTAACCATGTGGAAAAAGATAAAAGTAGAACCGTACCTAACACTTGACATAAAAATAAATTCCAACTGGCCTGGAATCTAAATGTAAGAAATGAAACCATACAAGTAATAGCAGGAAACTTGAAAAACTTCCTCTCTAACCTCTGTGTAGGAAATAGTCTAGGACCCAAAATACAGAACATTAAGAGAAATGACTGATAAATTTGAATACATAAAAAAAACTTTTTCATGGCCAAGAAACCATCATAAAGTAAAAAGACAATTGACAAACCAGGAGAAAACATGTGCAACATGTCTCACAGATGAATGACTAATACCCCTCATACTTAGAGGACTCCTCAGAATTGAGTGGCAAAAGATCAAAAACTGACTGAATAATGGAAATTGAAAAAATAAAATATGGCACTTACCTGAGAAAAATATGCTCAAATATTCAAAAATTAAAAGCACATTAAAACAGCACATATACTATTTTTTCACCTAACAGATTGGCAAAAATTAGAAAGTATGACAGCACATTATGTTAACAAGACTGTGTGGAAAGCCTTTTTAGCACAGTGACAGTATTGGTGGAAATGCAACCCAAGCGGCAGGGGAACTTGGCAATAGGTACTAGCAATATCCAGCAAAAGTATAGATGTATTTTTTGACCCAGCAATCCCAACTTGAGGAATTTACCCTGAAGATACACTTCCAACAATATGAAAAAATATGAACAAGAATGTTCAATGCATAATTGTGTGTAATTGCAAAAGATTGGACACAATTTCTATGCCCACCAAGAATAGAAAGCAGCCACTGGTATCTGGAAGCTGGCTTGGTACTATCAGCTAGTCCTGATGTTGTACTGAACATAAACAACCCAAGGTCATGCAGCAGTTTGTCCCCATGAATAATTTTAGACTGCGGAAACCCCTGAGGTTAGAATTAATCCCAAGGAGAAATAGATAGGGAAGGGGCTTTGCTGAATTCGGCAGAGCATAATCCAACCTAGAAGCTCTTAGATTAAGTTTTAGCTGCGAAGCTGCCATGGAGACTCTAAATGGAAATTGTTGCAGCTGGAGTAAGTATTGCTAGCGTAAGTATTATAGTAGATGTTTACAGGGCTCACCAATTTAACATGAGTTTTGGTATCAGATAGACCTGGCGTCAAAACTCCATTCTACTTTTTATTATAAGTACTTCTTGGCTCCGCGACACCTCCCGCCGTCTCCTCCCGCCGCCTCCGGAGGCCCGTCCTCTCCAGGGACCTGACGCCTTTTTCCCACGCAGGCCTCCTCGCAGCATTAGCAGCACATGATCACACTAAGTGGCCGCCCCCCACGCGGCAGGCACCAGCGGAGGGCGGCGGCGTAGGCAGGGGCGAGCAGCGGTGTAAGCAGTGCGGGGTGGACGCAGTGTCGGCGGGCGGCGGCGGGAGCGGGTTGTGGTGAGCGGAAGGCGTCGGTGGTGGGCGGCAGCATCTGCTGCTGCGGGCGGGGACAGGATGGAGGCAGCGTCTGCGGCGGGTGGCTGCAGGGGCCGCGCTTTGGCGGAGGGAGGCGGCGGTGGGTATCGGAGGCGGGCGGCGGCTGTCCGCCTGTAGGGCCAGCGGTGCGAAGGCGGGCGGCGTCGGCTGCCTGGGTTGAAGGACGAAACCTCCCCCTTACGACGCTGCCCCTCCACCAGCCCACAGGGCTCGTGGCCGCTGCCGCCGACAGAGGCTGCCCACCTCCGTCGACCAACGCCGCCTGCTGCCCTCGCCCACCCACGTCGCCTCTCGTCTCTGCCTCAGCTGCCCACCTGCAGACAGCAGCCTCGGACGCCCCTCAGCGCCCGCCCCCCAGACACCGCCCGTCCCTGCAGCGCCAACAGCTGACGCCAACACCGCCTCCTCAACCAAGCCGCGGGCTCCAAGGCCGCCTCCATCCGCCAAAGCGCAGCCACCGCCGCAGAGGCTGCCGCCCTTCTGCCCCCACCACCGCCCGCCAGTGCTTTCTCCCGCTGACACCGACGTCGCTGCCTTCGCCAACACTCACCGACGCCCAGCGCCCCCCACTGACAGACGCCCCCAGACTCCTACCGCCGCCAACCGGGGCCCCGTGCCAAGGAACTAGCTCCCTCGCCGCCTTGCAGCAGCCTCTGCTCATAGTAAGTAGCCGCCCCCACGTTGGCTTTTTGAAGAGGGAGTTTGGGGGTGGTGTGTGTGCCCTGGGAGGAAAGTCGAAAGCTATGGGTGGCCGTTGGAAAGCTATGAGAGGAGCACGCACCTACCCAGCCAAGAAGGTGACCGGGCCTCAGGCCGGAGCTCTCCAGACCCGCCAGCTTCTCTGACTGCAGGTAATGGTTTCCGTGTCAGGTCTGTGGGCACAAGGGCATGGGCGCTGCGAGGGTGCATCCCTGGGCGAGGGGTACTCCTGCACTCCCAACCAGTCAGTGCTGGAGTCCAGGGGGTGTGTAGGTCCCTGCGGCTGCGTGGTGGCAGCCTGGCCCATTGGTGAGTGGGTCGCCATGTTGTCGGTTCCCCACCTTCATGTGTACATGTGTGTGTGTTAGCTCTTACATGTGTCTGCATGTGTGGTGTTGCGTGTGTGTTAAAGCACTGTGCAGCCTGGGACAGTGTTTGTGTCTGTGGGTGCCTGTGCACTAGTAGAGCTTGAGGAAGGCAGCTGGCTCCCAAAAACCGCCTAGCAGAAAAGTCAGGTGGGGAGAGTTTGGGGCAGGCTGCTGGGGAGATTGGCCTCAGCAGGGAGGCCCCTGGAGCATGAATAGCCACAGGTGAGAGCATCCTTCCCACCCCCTTGCACGGGGCAGGTTCTCTGCAAATTAGGGCTTCCCCTGTGACCCATCCTCCCTGCCTTGGAAAAAAAGCCATCTGCTAGTACCCTTCTTAGTGCTGAATGCAGTAAAAAGTGACAAATGCCTGTTCCTGCAGAACTGAACCCCCGTGGAATGATTTGGCTTTGGGGTTCAGTTCTGCAGGAACAGGCATTTGTCACTTTTTACTGCATTCGGAACTTAGGGAGGAAGCTGAGGGAGAAGAGATCTACTAGCACACCTTTGTGTCTGTCTAGTAGATTAAAAGCATTTAACAGTGATGGAGGCAGAGACTTTTTTCTTGCTTTTACCTCTTAGGAAAATGACGCTGTCTTAGGTCGTCACACTGATACATTGAACAGTTTGTTTGAAATACATCTTTCTCAGTGTTTAGTAGAAAAAAATTGCTGCTGAAATTTTAGAGGTTCCTTAGCACATGAAATCTGGAGAAACTTCTTAACTGAATTTTGTAGTGCATTAACTTTTAGACATGTAAAAAATTGATGACAAATCAGTTTGGAGAGGAATCTTCCCAAGGTTAATTGTGTGCTTTCATGTACTTTTTAAACCTGTCTAATAAAAGTTTAGTCTGCTTTAAATGGCTTAATGTCATCTCCAGGCACATCATAGTTACTTTTTGTGAAAAGCTGGGTGATGCCCTCAACAGCCATTGAAGTATGGAGGCTGCTGGCTGCAGTGTGTTGTTTGGGTTTCTGTGTCCTTGTAGTTTTCTTGACTCTTTCCTTCCTGCCCACTATTTACTTCCAGGGCTTTCTTGAGTTTCACTTGTCTGCTGCCAATTATTTCTAACTTGATTTTTCTCCTCCATTTGTTGTTGGTTTGTAAGTCCTGCAATTAGGAGGTTAGCCATATTTATTGCACTTCTGCAAAAAGCCAGGCTTGGTGTTGGTACATTCTGTAATCATCTGTAATACTTAAAATAGTCTTGACCTAGAATTGTTCATCTTTATTTTCCAAGTGAGTAGACTGTCAAGCTTCAATGGTCAGGAGGCCAAAATAACAAATGCATTTATTTATTTGGGATCAAAGAAATATAACTCATGGCCCACAAATATGTATAGCAACCCAAATAGTCTTCGCTAGGGAGCAAATGTCAGGGGATTTTAGAGCTAGAAAGGCTATGCTTGTATACATGGTTTACAAAGTGTGTTGATTGGCCTAGGTGGCAGAAAACTCTCTTGGCTAAACACAGTTGGATTCTAAGGCCCTGGCTCAGCCACAAGCCCCTCCTGGAGCATGGCGCAGGTGTTGGTGCAGAGTCCTGGGCATGTGTGGGGTTTAGCCCCTTTCAGAAGTCCAAATACATGGATCAAAAGGCTGGTAACAATGGGCTTGACTCACTTCAACTTTTGTCTCTGCAAACGGTTCTGGCAGCAGTTCCCCATCCATCAGAGTGACGATGAGGCTGGGAACCTTCTTTCCTGTGGGAGAAGCAGGTGGTACCCATATTAAAGCAGCAAATTCTGCACTTTTACTCTGCACAGTAAACATTCTTCCTGGAGAGGTCAGCAAACCCAGGTGCTTCCTGAGCCAGGTTCCTTAGGAGTCCCCAATTTCAAATTTGGAAACACTCAGCAAATTAACATGGCATGCAGGTTTCAAGAATACATATTTTTTTCCATCAAGGAAAACCAAACAACCTATTTGGGACACTAAGATCTTCAGGACTCTGATCAGTCCTCCTGTGAAGTCCTCACCATCTGCCAAGGACAGAACTCTCTGCATCCTTGGTGCTCCCAGAGCACATGTTCCCTGCTCTCTGGGACACTGGGCACTTAGCAAGCCTGGGGAGGGCAGAGCCTCCATTCCTGATCCTCCCATCTCCTACCACCTAGCATATCACCAGGCACAGTGGGGCTACTCAGTCAGTGTTTCTGCATCTATTTTAATATAAAATGAATGTTACCTGGATAAACAGTCAAGATCCAATTCTTCATCAACATTAAATTCACAAAAATTCACTCATGAAATTTCAGTCATGTTTGTTCAAAATGGTCATTCAGAGGTTTTTTATTTTGTTCATTTTGGGTTTTTTTCCAATTGATAAACAGGTATCAGACAATAAACATTCCAGCAATAAAGGGGGGAAGTATGCAAAAACAAACAAACAAAAAAACAGAGTATGCATGCAACAATGCAAAATAAAATAATTATGAGAGGGTAAACTTAAGTATAAAAACTTCTAAGTGATAATAAAAGATGGCTCTAAGATGAACCTTAAAATGTGGTCAATAAAACTAATACCACAACATTAATTACATTTAGCCAACTATGAACTGGCCCATGCTCACTGAGAAATGTTAAGTATGTTTTACAGATCACCTCATTAGGAAAGTAACAGAAGATAAGATTTTAAGGTTTTCAAATTATCAATGAAAGTATTGACCATTTAACTCTTAGTATATGAGAGCATCATGAGTTCATCTCCACAGAGTGCCAGAATACATGGTGTGTCTCCCCAACACTGACCCGTGTCAAAGAACCACAAACAATTCTTGTTCTTCTCCTAAAAAAACTTTATACCGAAATACATACCATAAGATGCACAAATCATAAAACTCCATGAATTCTGACATACGTACACACTCACATAATCATTGTCTAGATCAAGATGTCAAATATTCTCACTTATTTTCTCACCCTTCACCTACTTCATAGATACTTTCGCCAAGGAGATGTACAGATGGCCAACAGACATAAAAAGATGCTCAGTATCACTCACCACCTGGGAAATGCAAGTCTAAACCCTATGAGATGTCATTCACATCAGCCAGAATGGCCACCATCCAAGAGACAAAAAGAACAAGTGCTGGCGAGAATGTGGAGACAAGGGAACCCTCGGACACTGATGATGGGATGGCAAGTTGATGTAGCCACCATGGAAAGCAGAATGAAGGTTTCTCAGGGAACAACTGTGCTCTCTATAATGCTAAGGGATGAAGGAGGACACTGAATGGTGGCTTACTAAGAAGGCTAAATGGAGTTACCTACCTACCTGGTGTGACCCTGGAGATAGAGAACAGCAGATGTTTGCAGAAATGGATCAAGCAGAACTTTGATGAGTTGACTTAAGACACACAAAGTTGTTCCCTTTGGAGACCTTGTAGGGAAAACAAAAGTGTCACTAAGAGTGTAAGCCAAACTTACTGGGCTTCCCCACTAAGGAGGGACAGTCCACTAGCAGATTGTTGTTTTTCCAAGGCAGGGAGGATGGGTCACAGCGGAAGCCCTGATTTACAGGCAACCTGCCACGTGCAAAGGGGTGGGAAGGATGCTCTCACCTGTGGTTATTCATGCTCCAGGGTCTCCATGCTGAGGCCAATCTCCCCAGCAGTCTGCCCCAACCTAGCCCCCTGACTGCTAGGCAGTTTTGGGGAGCCAGCTGCCTTCCTCAAGCTCTACTAGTGCACAGGCACCCACAGACACACACACTGCCCCAGACTGCACAGTGCTTTAACACACACACAACACCACACACGCAGACATGGTGCAAGAGCTAACTCACATGGACACATGAAGGCGGGGAACGGACAACAAGGCGACCCACTCACCAATGGGCCAGGATGCCTCCACGCAGCCGCAGGGACCTACACACCCCCTGGACTCCCGTGCTGACCCGTTGGGTACACAGGAGCACCCCTCCCCTGCAGATGCACCCTCGCAGCGCCCATGCCCACATGCCCATGGACCTGACACGGAAACCATTACCTGCAGTCAGAGAAGCTGGCGGGTCTGGAGAGCTCCTGGCTGAGACCAGGTCACCTTCCTGCCTGGGTGAGTGCGTGTACTGCCCATAGCTTTCCAACGCCCACCTGTACCTTTCAACTTTCCTTCCAGGGCCCATGCACCACCCCCAAACTCCCTCATCAAAAAGCCAACGTGGGGGTGGCCACTTACTGTGAGCTGCTGCTGCAAGGAGAAGAGGCCTGCTTGAGGAAGAGGGCACTGGGTCCCTGGCAGGGGGTCGGGGAATCTGAGGCTGGCGGGAGGAGGTTGCAGTAGAAGGCCGCAGGTCATTGGTGGTGGAGGTCAATGACCAGCGGAGCAGGGCATTGGCAAGCGATGGGCGGTGTCAGCGGGAGAAGGCCTTGGCAGCGGTGGTGACTGCAAGCATGGGGGAGGTGTCAACGGAGGCATCAGCAGGCGGGGACAGGCAGGTGGCTGCACTTTGATGGAGAGAGGTGGTGGTGGGCACCAGAAGCAGGCGGCGGCCTCAGAGTCCGGCTGCCTTGGTGTCTGCAGCTTGGCTGGCGAGGGCGCGTCAACCACTAGCGTGGCAGTGACAGGTGGTGTCTGGGTGGGGCGGGCGCTGAGGGACGTCTGAGGCTGCTGTCTTCACGTGGGCAGCTGAGGCAGAGGCGAGAGGCGACATGGATGGGCTTGTGCAGAAGGCAGTGTTGGTCGGTGGAGACTGTTCACGGTGTGGGTTGGTGGGGGAGGTTTTGGCCTTCAACCCAGGCAGTCTATGCTGCTCGCTTCCTCACCGCTGGCCCAGAGGCGGGCAGCCCTCACCTGGCCTCCAGCCACCGCCTGTCTCCGTTACCCACGGCGGCCTCCCTCCGCCAAAGCACAGCCCCTGCATCCACCCGCAGCAGACATTGCCTCCAGCCTGCCCCCGCTCACAGCCGTCGCCTTTCGCTCACCACCATCTGCTCCTGCCCCCCGACTGCCGCCACCCATCTTCGCTGTCCCCCTCACTGCCGACACCGCCCACCGCTGATGCCCGCCACGTGGGGGAGCGGCCACTTACCATGATCATGTGCTGCTGCTGGGAGAAGGCCTGCGTGGGAAAAAGGCGTCAGGTCCCTGGCGAGGATGGGCCCCTCGGAGGCTGCGGGAGGTGGCCGGTGGCGGTGGTGGGCAGCACCAGCGGCGTCAGTGGGAGAACGCATGGGGCGGGTGGCTACAGGCAGCGTTTTGGCGGTGAGAGCGGCAGGCACCTGGTTAAGGCCGCATCGGCAGGCGTGGGAGGGGGGCGATGTCTGTGGGTGGGGCAGGCGCTGACAACGTCGGAAGCTGCGGTCTGCAGATGGGCTGGGAGAGGGAAGTGAGACAACTCTGGGTGGGCGACCCGGCGGGCGGCGACGGGAGTCAGAGGTGGGCAGCTGTGGTGGTGGACTGTGTGGTTTCCTGTGGGATTGGGGGATGTGGCATAATGGGACGGTGTCGGCCCTCAACCCATGCCCCAGCTGCAGCATGCCTCCGCGCCTCAGAGTTGGGTGCCCATGCCACCCGCAGCCGCAGCTGGTCTCCCATGTCTACCCGCCGCCTCCCTCCGCACCAGCGCAGCCACTGGCAGCCAGAAGCCGCTTCCCTCCAGTACCCGCCCGTTACCTCCCGCTGACACCCTCCCCACACTCCTGTGTCCCCACCGCCGCCAGCCAATGATTTCGCTGACCCGGCCATCGCTGTCTCCTAATTCTCTCCCAGGGGCGAGGGCAAGCGATGTGTGGGCTGGGGGCGCTGGCAGGGTGCGCTGCGTGCCCGGCGTGGAGAGCCGGAAAAGTCTCAGAAGGTAGAGGCGCACAACCGTGGCAGCAACGGTGGCCGGGCAGGTGAGCCGCACGTGTGTGTGCTAAAGCAACTACCCGGTGTGTGGCAGCGACTGCCTACCTGCCTCCACCAACCCACACACAACCTCAGGCTGCTGTGTGCCACCAGCCTGAGGGCCAGAGCACCTGCTAGCAAGGTCCTTCCATCGTGACCCCCAGGACACCTGGCACATTAGAATATTTAGCATTAGAATAAAACTTTTTAGAGGGCATGGCTGCCTCCAGTACATGCAACGTACAAGCCCAGAGCAAGTATAGCCTATACTGTAGTGTGTGTGTGGTGTATTTGAGCTGTGAAGTCACTGGAATCGCAATCCCTGTCCTCATCTGGTACAAGGTAAGGAAGAGTTACTATGGAGTCCAAAGGACACCTCTTGCCTGGTGACGGACAACCTAGCCAGTCAGACTTGGGGTGGCCCAGAAAAGCAGGAAGTCACTGGCTGAGTTCTGGTATCTCCTCAGTACAGAAGATGCTGGAGAATACAAGTGCCATGCATCCAGTTCCCAAGGACAGGTTTCAGCACCAGCAAAAATGATAGTGGTTAAGGCATTATGTGAAACACCACTGAAAAAAAGTGAACATGCTGAGCTATAAACCTGCAGAAAATATTAGTTTGCATAGCTAAAAGTAGTCAGGGAGAACAGCCCCTTTCTTGCTTAATGACCAATTTCTTTTCATCCAATTCACTAGTATTTTAGTTATATTCACTGATTTTACATAGAAAAATACAAAATAGAGATTAACACATCAACTATAAAACCTTATTGTGTATTTACAGAAGAAAAGCATGCATATACTTAGAATCTTTTACCACACATGCACCCCCCCACACACAGAAACCAGTCTAGGCTACACTTGCTCTGGGGTTGTATGTTGCATGTGTTGGAGGCAGCCATGCTCTCTAAAAAGTGTGTTTCTAATGCTAGAACTTGGAGGAATACAGAGAAGTCTATATCCCTACACAAAGTATTCACCAGAATACTGGGGAAACTAGAACTAAATGATCCAGTTCAATCAGCATCCAGGTTTCAACTGTCAGCAGTTTTGGACTCAGGGGGCAAGCCAAAGAGTTTGGGGGACATTCAATTGTGAGCTGAGAACTATTCTGTGGTGCAAGTTTCAACAACAAGGTGTGCACAACAAAGTAAGTACTTGACTCTGCATGTTAGTAGCAGTTGAGTACTCATCTGAAGCTGAAGTTTTGCTTCTAATAATGTGTCACCTTAACATTGTTGAGTATATCTTGGGTCCTAAAGCTTATGATAATGACAAGAAACTGGATAAGTTCACAAACCTAGAAGAGATCATTCAGGTACTGGATAAAGATTCTTCTCTGAACAGTTTACAACTGCTACATCTAATTTTCAAATGGCTGAGTCCATATCCCATTTTATGGGAGGAAGTTTATTATAAATCTTTCTCCTTGAAGTGGTTTGGTATTTTACTTTTAAAGAACCATCTGGAAATGTTTGTGTTTCCTGTTTAAGCTATCTCAAAAAATAAATGAAAATTTTTTACTGGGATTAAACCTGATGTTTTTCCATAATCAAATGTCTTTTAGGCTATGTTCTATTACACAGGTGCCAAAGTAACCAAAAAGCTAAAATGTATGTACCTACAATAATGTGATCAGTTTCTCAAACATTGTAACATTGCATACCAAAAATTCATCAGTCCATTACATGCAATTATTAATGACAATGTCAAACATTACAATTTTTGCAAAAATATAAGTGTGCTCTTATCTCTTCCATCTCTCATTTTTTCAGTGTCTTCATCATTTTGAAAGGATCATGCTTTGAACAAACAGCAGTTAATGTAGAAACAAGGAACATCTCAATTTTCTCACTGCTAACTCAGCTTACTGAGCCAGTTTCACAATTCTCACATTCCTGAGTCCTAGGAGAAAATGCTAGTTTAGAGTGTTAAAATTGATGCAGATTAGAGTGTAAAGGGTAATTATAAATTAGCACAAAATCCTACAGAGTGTTTTTAGCACCATTAATCAACACCCACCTAGGTATACACTTGTTTAGTGAGAGCTGAGATTTCAAGGAGTTAAAAAATATCTAAAATATGCTCTTCTAGTTAAGTAATAAAAAATGCAGTTTGTCTTCTAATCAGGTTTGTGGGTTTTCAAGGAAAAATACCCAATATGTCATTCAAGCATAACTTTTATTTTATACTACAGAATTATTTAAATCCTATACTCTCGAGGAGAACATCTTTTAAACACTTGTGGTTTTTATATTTTTTTATCTTTGTGTCAGTGCTGTTGTGTACCTGTTCTTGTTGAGACTGATCTGTTTTCTTTCTCCTCCCTTGGTTCTTGTAAAGGCTGCTGCCTGTGGCACCATGGTTCCCACTTTCAATACAGGATGCTGCTGGTGTTCCCTCCTCTTTTGTCTGTCAGACTCCTAGATTCAAAGAGGCCACTCAGATGAATCTGCTCATGAGCACAGAGGGGTTCTTGGTTCTTCAAGTTTTGCAAGCCTGCTCTATTAATTAAAGCCCCTCTGCCTTTTTTTCTCTCCTTCCTGATGATGTGAAGTCAGTGGCAGCCTGGAAGGGCAGTAAGCTAAAGGGAGAAGGCAGTCAAAGACAAGCATCTGTGCTATAGGTGGTGAGGAAGGTAGTTCCCGCAGATGCTGAATGTGAAAGGAGACTCATGGGTGGTGCAGGGCAGATAGGACCAGATTCCTGGGCCCCTGGATTTAGAGGTGCCTGCAGGGTTGCTGGGAGAGTGGATCCATCTGGAGAAGGGGGTTTGTATGGGTTGCACAGGCTTTGGGGTCTCACTAGCATTTGGCATATGCCATGGGTGCACTCTTGCAGAGGAAGAGCATGTGGAGTTAGAGGACAGAGTCTGAGAAGCAGGAACTGTATAGTTAGAAGCAAAGTCTGGAGACTCTGTTGTCATAAAAGGTGAGGAAAGTGGTGCTTCATTATCAAGAAAGAACTGAAAGCATCAAACACTCCTGAGGGGTTAGTGAGATACATAGAGAAAACAGCACCATCTGAGACTGTAAAGAGGGCTTCTTCCTGAAGATGCAGGGCATAGTGGGCCGAGTACAGTGACCACACACAGGCCTTAACTGCTACCATTCTACAGGTGGCACAAGTACACAGTTCTGCAGATCACACGATGCAGACGAGGAGGCTCCTGCTGGGCTCTGTGATGCGCCCTATAACCTCCAGTATTCTCCTCATTTCATATTTGTCACTTGACTTTCAGAGTCCTGTGCCATTGAATTTTGGCTCAACTAGATGGTAAGCCATGTCCTGAGCCCATGTGATTCACTAGAGTTGACCACTAAGGCTAGATATTTATTATAAAGTGATAAACCATCCTCCCTAAATCCTCTCTATAATTTCCAAATAGCTAGCATGGCAAGGCAATTCCTGTAAAGGAGAACCTCTCCCAGGGTCACTCATTTTATTTTTTTTAGCTTTTGTTTAGTAATTATACCGCACTCAGGAGTTGGTACTATTAAGGGAATTTTTCACTTGTGGGGCACTATATATTTTTCACAGCATTTACAAACTGTTTTCCTCTAAAATCATGGGGTAAAATAAACTTGTGGGTAAGGAGAATAAGGAAAAAAATGGATATATGGAATAGTACTGTGAAATACCCAATGTGTCTAACTTTTTTTTTTCAAAATCGATTATAAGATAAATGTACTTTTAAGGCACCCTTCATACAAATCACTCTTAATAAATTAACAACTTATACAAAGCCCTGTGAGACTCTGCAGGAATCCCATTTACTAAAGGGAAAATGACGCATTTATATTAACTTACTTCAGGTCACTTAAGATGTCAGTAATGTAAAGAAGGAAATCAGAACATATGCCACACACAAGAATTCTAATTCCTCCAAGTCTCAATTTTGTGATTTTCAAACTCTGTTGTACAGAGGAGTAACAAATTTAGTTTTCTCAGACTAGGGAAGGTAAGATTCATCTTATTTCTGCTCTGTTGGAAATAATGAAACCAAATTCAGTTTCACAGAATATTATCTGGAAGCAAACTGAGCCCATTTGCTGTGTAAGGAAGTCTCTTTGCCAGCCGATGTTCATAAGATGAATATACAGGTGAAAGATAAGCAATTTATTTTTATTTCATACTGAGAATGGCAATTTAAACTATAGTGCATTTGTCCTTTGAAGGAAATGCAAAATATAGTTCAAATATCTTTCTATTTTTGTCAATATAAAAATAAGTAATATAAATAGTAATCCAATTTTGAGCTATGGGACAAGTGTAGCAATCACATATTTCACAATGATGTTATTATCAGTATATATATACACAGGTGAGTTTCAGAAACTACATTCCAGTCCCACTTACTTTGTGACTTATACCTGGAGTACCATTACCCAGAAAATCAGTCAGGCATTAATAGCTATAAATGGGAAATATACAAGCTGAAATTCTACAATGGGCACTGAATACCACACTCTTAAGTGTATAAAAGCAATAATAAAGAGTGCAAAAATATGGAAATATTATTTTCAAGCTGGAAGGAATCTTTGAAAAATATCTAATCAAAATCCTTTATTTCACATCTAAGTTATAAAAAAAAAAGAGAAAGATCCCTGCTAGTGGCTCCCTATACTTACAAGGGCTCCTAAGTGCCATGTGTAAATTTCAACAGAGGACAGCAACTATGGGAAGCACAGTGAATCACATGAAGTAACTCACCCAGAAACACGGGACAAGTAAGTGTTCCAGGAGTGTAAAAAAGAAAAGTCTCTCAAAGTTCTACTGCCTACCTGCCTATCTATCATATGCCTCTTAACACAAAAAAACTTCCTGTCACATAGTAAGTGGTAATTAAGTGTTAACAGTTTATTGTTTTTTGAAATAAGGTTTTATAGTGTGGTTCAACCTACCCTAGTCTCAGAGGCATTTATGGGCCCATTTAAATATGGACAATCAGTGAAAAAGAAAAAAATCACATAGGCTTACTTCATTCCTCAGATAAAAAAAACATGAGGAGTCTGTGCAGTCTGAGCCTCAAAGTGGTTTGTTAAGATTCCAGTGATTAGGTAACCCTCTATTTGAAAAATAAAACAACTTTTAACTTAGCAATTACACTTTTAGAAATGTACTCCAAGGACATGATTACATGCATAAAGACATAGCAATAAGGGTGCTCTTTATAGGATTGTTTGTGGTGGCTAAAAAGCTGGAATCAAACTGAATGGCCAACAGCATGAAATGTATCAAATAAACCATGTCAGCATTCTCCTAGAAGAGCACTTAACATGAAGATATCCTCACAAGCACTGTGCAATGGAAAAGCAGATTCTAGAGCTTTAAGAACACATGGTACTAAGTAAATATAGATAACCCCACATTCTCCAACTTTCCCAATTTTTCTTCCACCTGGTCATGCTATCCCATTCAACAGGTAATCTCTGATCTTCAGTTTACCTGACGTCTCAGTAGCAACTGACATACGAACTCCGTCTTGAAAACCACTCTCTTATGTTGGCCAATTCCACCCTTGCCTTTTTTTGTCTACAATTTTTTAAATTATTAATAAAGTTTTATTTTTATTTTTTAACTTTCTCTGGGCTGTGGGCTTTTATATATTTATTTTATTAAGGTATGATTGATATACACTCTTATGAAGGTTTCATATTAAAAAACAATGTGGCTACCACACTCACTCACATTACCAAGTCCCCACTCATACCCCAATGCAGTCACTGTCCATCAGTGCAGCAAGTTGCCAGAGATCTACTATGTCCCTTCTCTGTGATACACTGTTCTCCCCATGATCCCCCACACCATGTGTACTAAACATAATACCCCTCAGGCCCCTTCTCCCTCCCTCCCCACCTGCCCTCCCACAGCCCTCCTCTTTGGTAACCACTAGTTCATTCTTGGAGTCTCTGAGTCTGCTGCTATTTTGTTCCTTCAGTTTTGCTTCATTGTTATACTCCATGAATGAGGGAAATCATTTGGCATTTATCTTTTTCCGCCTGGCTTATTTCACTGAGCATAATGTCTTCCAGTTCCATCCATGTTGTTGCAAATGGTAGGATTTGTTTCTTTCTTATGGCTTTATGGTATTCCACTGTATATATGTACCACATCTTCTTTATCCATTCATCTACAGATGGACATTTAGGTTGCTTCCATACCTTGGCTATTGTAAGAAGTGCTGCGATGAATAGGGGTGCATATGTCTTTTTGAATCTGAGAAGTTGTATTCTTTGGGTATATTCCAAAAAGTGGGATTCCAGTGTCAAATGGTATTTCTATTTTTAGTTTTTTGAGGAACCTCCATATTGCTTTCCACAATGGTTGAACTAGCTTACATTCCCACCAGCAGTGTAGAAGGGTTCCCCTTTCTCTGCATCCTCGCCAACATTTGTTGTTCTTAGTCTTTTTGATGCTGGCCACCCTTACTGGTGTGGGGTGATATCTCATTGTGGTTTTAATTTGCATTTCCCTGATGATTAGTGATGTGGAGCATCTTTTCATGTGTCTGTTGACCATCTGAATTTCTTCTTTGGAGAACCATCTCTTCATATCCTCTGCCCATTTGTTAATCAGGTTATTTGCTTTTTGGGTGTTGAGGCATGTAAGTTCTTTATATATTTTGGATGTTAATCCCTTGTCGGATATGTCATTTACAAATATATTCTCCCATACTGTAGGATGCCTTTTTGTTTTGTTGATGATGTCCTTTGCTGTACAAATAAAGTTTTATTTTTTTACAACAGTTTAACACTCACAGAAATATTGAGGGGGAGGTACAGAGATTTCTTGTATACCTTCTGCTCTGCCACGCACAGGCTCCCCAATTGACAGCAACCCCCGGCCACCAGAGTGGTGCATTTGTTACAGTTGAAGAGCCTGCATCACACAACCATCACCTGAAGGCCATGGTTTACACCAGGGCTGATCTCTGGGGTCTCATACAGTTTGGAACACCCATTTGCTAGGCCTTTGTCAAGCTTTGCCTTTACTGCCTAACATGAAATGCTGGCATCCTTCCAGGCCCAGGACTGGACCTTCTCATCTTCCATTCTCCACATTTGGAGATTTTCACACCCTTAGCTTTGATTATTCTCTGTACACAGATAACTCAAATATTTATAATCTTCATGGAACTGCTCATCCAAGCTCAGACCACATGTCTGACAATGCAGCGGTGGTCCTCTTGGTTATTTAAACAGCACTTCAAACTGAATGTATCTAAAATGAGACAAATTATTACTCTCTGAATCACCCACTTCAAACTGCTTCAAACTGGTCACAGCCTAGTGCTTTTTCAGAGGTTCCTAACTCTGAATGCATCTGCTACCCATTTACTTATGCAAGACACAATAATTAATGCTATTCTTAATATTATCCTACACCCAACAACAAACACAATGTAAGTGCTGCCCATTTCCCAGAACTGCACTGGGTGGAGAGATTAAAGGATGGGTAGAACATGGTCCCTGAATCCAGCAAGCCAACAAGTAGTGGAGAAGAGAGAGAAGAAAGCAGTACTAGCGCCCAGTATGCCAACTGGGCACAGAGTAATACCCAGTGAAGAGACAAACTCTGAGCCAAACTTGCAGGAGGAGGAGGAGGGACCCAGGCAAGAGAAAGGGGCTAGTGATGAGGGAGGGATCCTAAGCAAAGCAAAGGCCATACCAAATGGACATGTGGGAAACCCACAGTATTCTAGGAACTCTGTGTGCCTCTGTGGGAGTATTTCTAAGTGTGGTAATAGGTAGGAGATGACCTTGAATAGGGCATATTTTTTGGCACATAAGCCTTACTAAGGAGTTGGGCTCCTGTTGTGATGCTGGTGAGTTAAAATACATGATCACGATTATGCCCAAGAAAGAGCTCTATAGCACAAACAGGGATTAAATAATTCCCAAACAATCATAGCAAGCTTCCTCGCAGGACTACATGAAAAGCATAAAATTCCTTCAGTGCTCTCTGGAATCAATATAAAATACAAACATATGGAGAAAAATTGTGGAAAATGTTAGTAGCTGATGAAGGAATACAGTGGTTAAGACCAAAACTTTGGAGTCAGAAAAAAGAAAGATTATTTTTTAAATCTTGACACAACCAGTTAAAGGTCTATCATCTTAGAATGAGGCTTCCTGATTTTTGTGTTTCAGTTTTCTTTTCTTTCAAACAATGCTACCCTAGTTAGTGATTGGCTATGAAGAGCAAATAAACACCAATGCAGTTTAAGTGCCTAGCAAAGAATAGATGCTTAATAACTACTTTAAATAATTGAATATTATTTTGAAATGGTTTTTATGCATTCTGTCAGTTTGGATATTTGTATTTATTTGACATTTTATTAGAACTCTAACAAAATTGATGTAATATTATGAAAACTCTTCTTTTGAGACAGCTTTCTAACCATATTTAACAGCAGTACCTAGTCATTCCAACTTTAAGAATTTATTTTTATGTGGCCCAAAAGACTTGATTTGGTTGTCAGATGTCTTGGAAAGAGCAAGAACATTGTGAGGAAAATAGGATCAAAACAAACAAAAAAGGAGTAAATCAGTTCAATTAAAATATTCCCTGGAGTCAAATTGATCATTAGATTATCAGTTCAGACTGAAGGACAATAATGACAAGATCAATCATATTGGACGTATTTCCAGTGTGCTCAAAAACAAAGCATTTGAGATCCCAGTACATATGTTTGGACGACTAACTCTGCCAGCTGTCCTATGAATGAGATTCCCAGAGGAACAAGTAAGTAAATCCCCCGAAAATCTGTGCACCATGAAGTTGATATTTCATATGCTCCCTTCCCTGCCTCCCTTAATCCATCTTCGCTATGTGGAAAGGAATAGAAAGGTCCTATGACAGATGTCCCCCATGAGTAGAAATGGTTTCATTCCAGTTGAGTTGGAGGCTCCAGCTACTGTCATCTTGGTTTGACTAATTAGATGCAACTATGTGCATACAGTTTGAAAGAGGGGCCGTGGGAAGATATCTGGGTGATAAGAAGGAGAAACAACTCAGTTTAATAAAAATGAGTATTTTTGAACAAAGGGCAATGGTATTAAAAACTCTCAAGTCCCCAGGACTCTGTTTTATTTATTCACTTTCAATGTTCAGATTCTGTGAACAGTTCTCATTTTGATTTGTGTAAGCCACTTGTATCCTTTACAAAAGAAGGCTGCTTCCCTAAGATGATTTCTTTTATATATCTCTTAGTGATTCAATGCCTACAACAATTTTCTTCTGAGCTCTCATAACTCTTCTGGATGTTTGCTGTCTTCCTTTCCTTTCATTCCGACTCCTGTTAGGTAGGGACTTCTCCCCCATTTGCCTGCCCGCCCAACCATCTGGTTACTGAATGTCACCCTAAGGCAGGGCTGCTGGACCAGTCTGGCCCTTTGAGTAGCAAAGGGAAAAGCAGATAAAGATGAGATCATTGCCCACTAGAATCCCTCCCTTGATAATAGTAACACTCTCCACTCAGCTCCTCCCTGCTCTGTCCTGAAGCCCTTGCCAGCGCTCAGTGTCAGTGATGAAGTGCAAGTGAATCAGATCTTAGTCTTCTGAGGAGCCAAAGGCCCACTTTTAGGGGGAAGAGACATTTCTTTTCACTCAGCCCTGTCCAGTTTGCTTCTATTGTCCCAGTACAATTATTTAGCATTTTTTATTTTCAAAAGTGCCCTGCTTTTGCAGGAAAAAATATGGGTGATGCACTTGTAGCATGTAAGTGAAAACATTAATTAAGCATTGGAAAAACTCATTGATCTCATGTCTGTTTTGCATTGCTGGCAGACAATAGCTCATCACTTTAAAAAGGCAGTAAG